GCCTTTGTGAGGGAGGGTAAAGATAACTCTGCGTACATTCATATCTGGTCTAGGTAATCTGTGCCATGGGTAAAGCAGGTCACGCTGAGGACAGCGCCCTGCTTGTGACGCATAATCCATCGCATGTGTTCATCTCTTGCTAAGCGATATTGTCGTTGTCCTTGTTTTTCGCATCATAATGAGAGAGAAAACAACAGAGGCACGCATTTACTGTGCCCTGTGCCCATCTTCTTTCGGAATTCTCGGAACGTCGCTCAACGCGCGGCCGTCCAGTGTCGTGCCAACGCGGTTTGCGCTAAATATTAGATAAAATAATAATAGACATTGAGAAAAATATAAAATATGTAAGTTATTTTTTTTTATTTATCATACTAGGGCACGTGCCCAAGTGCCCTTACGGGCAAACCGCCACTGAGTTTGACATTTCTTATCTCTTAATTTAAAACTATAACTAATTAGGCATTTCAAACAAAATGGTTGCCTGTGGGGACTGATATGGCAACCCTGTGGGCCTAGCGGATTTGACAGGGTCTATGATAAAGATTGATCATCCATGTTTTTCAAAATAAGCTTATGCCTTAAAGTAAAAATGTAGGTAATTATATTTTTGCTGAAAATTGGTTTTAAAAACATTTTTGCTAAACCAATTATGATTAATGAACACTTGGGAGTCAATATGACCGTTCGCAATGCGACTCGCTTCGAACAATCTATATAACTATAATATCATTGACTCTGTCAAAGCCCACAGGTCGCTGACATGTCTAATTGTTTATATTTATATTTTACTGACTTTAAATCTTTTGTGGAAGTAAATTTAATGATCTTCCACGAGTTGATGATGGAGTTGATGATGGCGATGGAGTTTTATACAAATAATATCCAATATTTTATTAGCGAGGTGAAAAATACATATCGTCAAAAGTAAGTTTTATAAATTATTTCCACTGATACTATTTGGCAACGTGGTAACCATTTATAATTATTCTTTTGGCTGCTTTTTAGCGCGAATAACAAACGATAATGAAATTTTAATACCATTTTGCATGTAAAATCCTAATTAAAGAATTAATGAAGGTTTTTCTCACTGTATTTACTTCCTCTCAAAATCAAAGTTCTCTTACACGACAATGAATCATCTTTTTTTATTTCACATTCTAATTCTAATCATCCACGAGTCGATCTCATTACATGCGGGAGCTGAAATTTATGTAAATGAACACGACAACGTTCAATTTCAATTCCTGGATGCAGCTTTTAGACCATTAGACCGTCATCATCGTCTTTTCGTTAGTTAACAAAAGTGAAAATACAGATTTGTTTTCATTTACTCGCAGCCACATGACGTAATAATATTCGTGTATGGACCACAATGACGAGTGGACCAGATGTTTATTTAAACCGTCTACGCTCAACTAAAGGGTCAAAAAACCAAACACGGTCGGACGTTAAGCGATTGCAGACCTTAAGGCTGTTGACTAAAGAGTCGCATAGGGTTGAGATGAAACGGGAAGCACTTCGTTTCACTCTATTTGTACAAGTGCGTTCTCGATTTTAAATGGGTCTTTTTATTCTATACGCTTTTTAGAAATTTAAATCCTTGAATTTCATTCGAATACACGTAGATAGATGATGGACGTTCACCTTTTAATAAGAACAGGAACGTTGCGTTGTTGTAAAATAAATAATAAATACCTAATATACATTGCGTTATTTAGGTATATCTATTTACTTTGAAAATCTGACTTGGCCATGGATATTTGACATATTTCACTGTGAATAATATACAGTAGGTTCTTTCGTTCGTCCCACTGGTGTAGGAATGAACTATACCAACGGAAGTGTTGCCACAAGCTTCTCCTTGATTCTCCGCTGACAGATAACCAAATTCTCCGAATTCACTCGATTCGTTCCCCATCCCGCATAAAACAAAAAAATACGAATGAAAATTAGTTCTTATGCTAGATCACCTGGATACTAATGCGCATGCGCAGTCAGTGGGGCATACTTTTGGAAGATTGGTGCGTGATCAAAAAATAGTTTTAGCTCGTGACAAAACACTGTTCTGCACCTCTGATCAACGCGAAAAGTGCCGAAAATACACGAGATTCTCCACTGACAAGTCAGTAACTAGTCAACTGTCAACGCCAGGGGGGCAAATTCTCAAAATTTTATTATCCGCCAAATTCTCCGAACCTGTTCAAATTTTCCGGAAAGCGGAGAATTTTCCGCCCATTGGCAACACTGACCAACGGACACTAAACCTTTTGTTTGGTCCGGTGTAAAACCACTACACCTTCCTGTCGGCGATGTGGTGTCCACTAGTGGATATTTTCTCCACCAGCTATTTAGCAGGAGTGAATTACACTGGACATGTGTATAAGGAATAAGAAGGAAGTAAAGTAGGTAAATAAAGTGGTGTAATTGACATTGGTAGACAATGCACCAATAGCGAACGAAAGAATCTAATGCAGAGACAATTAATGAGACGGTTAACTCAATGCAATTTTGCTTTTCGCCAAGAATTGACTGGGCGATTAGACTGGAAGATGTAGCCGATGGCGCTGGTATTCGCGATTCAAACTAAGTGATACGCCCTCTGGGGGAAATTTGTAGAAGGTGCCTATAAGTAGAATATCGTTCAGTGTTGCCACAAGTAGTGAAATTTCGCTTCGTGGCGTCGTCGGATTTTAGCCCTTGAAGAAGTGGATAAAACCTTTTATTTAAGAATCAAAATGTGTGTCTAGTAATATGTTATCATACTCTATATTTATTTAAGGATTTTTTTATAAAACCGACTTATTATATTTATTTTTTTTAATTTCAGTTCATTTATTAATTTTGTTTTAAAATCATTTGGCAACATTGGCGTTCGTGTTCATTGTTTACATTTTAATTTGTATCAATTATAATTCGAGTTTTTCATACTTTTTAGCTTTAATTTTTTTTATTTCTTATAGTATGTGATAGTGTTTATATTAAAAATGAAATCTGGGAAAAAGCCTCCAGCAAATTGCAATCTATATGGTGTTAATGTTAAAATCAAAACTGAGTTATTTATTATTTTGGATATCTACAAATTCACAATATTGAAATTTTGCAAAACTTTGTTTAGAATCAACTGCAATCTGATTTGTGACGGTTTTATTACCATTTACATGTATACAAAGTACTACACAATTTACTTCATAATATAAAAATAAAGATAGTAAGATTTTTAAATAAGTTCATCAATAATAAACGTTTGGTACCTGAAATGTCCTTTAAACCACATAATAAAACATATTCTGGATTTAGTAAATACATATTTCTAGATGTTTTTGTAGCAAATAGGTGAATATTTCCAACAAATTAAGTCATACACACGATAAATATTAAATTTATGACGAAAACACGAAAACTAAACTTAAATTAACACTAAATGAAACTCAAAAACACTATTATAATGAGAATATTATCAAAAAACAGTTAAAAAATCACAAATACAAAATCCCGCCCAAAGCAAACACATTTAAATAAAGAAACGTCCTACTTATGTGACAAATGACAGGCGCGTGAAAATTAACTTGAATCCAAAGAAGTAGAGAGGGTAGAACAATGAATTGGAGTGGGGTAGAATGCTTGTCAATAGGCTTGAGATGCGACTCTATGGGCAAAGACAGGTTATTTTTCATCTCACTCGGGAGTATTTATAACAACCATTTTCTATTTCACTTTGTTATTGTCTGATCCACCAGCTTGTGGATTGAACAATAACAATGTGAAACAGAAAATGGTTATTATAAATACTCCCGAGTGAGATGAGAAATAAAAATGACTGCGCCCATAGAGTCGTATCTTCTTCTATGATACAATATGCACATTGGCTTTCTACCCCACTTCAGTTCATTGGGGTAGAACGATAAGGTACCGTCTGCACATCCATCACGAGTGTAGAAATTATGCGTGATTCAGCCTTCCACTCTTACACACGTAAATGACAAGGAGAGGTTGCCCTAAAGCACTGTAAACAAATTCCAGGATTGACTTTATTCAGCGATTATGTTCATGTTCAGCTCTGTTTTTTGTTTGTGTTTTGGCTGTTGTAAGCTTTTTTGGCGTCAATTCTTTGTTATCTTTTGTGATTTTTTATGCTTTTATTCCGATTTAGTATGAAATTATACTTGTTAATTATTTTTCGATGCACTATTTTATAATTGTTGCACAAAATGTTGTTAAACCGTCCCTGAATCTTGTTTACAAAATGTGCAAAACGAAATTGTGCATAGTGTCCAGACTTTTTCATTGACAGTTACCATTCTACCCCTCTCCACTTCATTGCTTGAATCGCGAATCGCTTGAATCGCGAATATCTGCTGCTTTAATTGTAGCCTTTTTCTTTATAAGCAACCAGTCAATTTAAAATGTTGCTTAAAAAAGAAGAATTGTGGGAAATTCAAATATTTAGTTTTACTTTATCTAAATTTTGTATATAATAAAATGATTTTTTTCTTATTTGATGTACTCAAATACTTAAAATGTGAATAAATAATTCACAATTATTACTAGCACATCAAATCAAAAAAAAAATCATTTTAATAAACACATACGAAAGAAAGTTATAAATTAACATTAAGAAGGAATATAAAACAAAGTGTGATTTCAATATATGTATTATATGTAAATTAATATTTTTTTAAAAAATTCTGCTCCACAACTCTTGGTTGTATCGGATCAGTTTTAAATTAATTAGAGAACTGGGAAGATGGCTGTCTCTAGACACTTCACCTAAATTCCCTTGGAGGGAGCACAGTAAGCCTAATGGGACCTAAATGCTGTGGAGCAACCCACCCTTCTCACCTTCCAGATACAGAGAATGAATTAGAGAGTATCTTTAATCATAAAATATGAACCAAATTCGCATTTTAAATCGTCCAAATCATCTACTTAAATATTATATTTTACAAATGTTATATTTTTCTAAATTTTATACATTTCTAATTGTTATATTTTTATTTCAGCAATGATGGCCCAATCTCTGGCACCCACCCAATCCAGAGAATCAATTTCGTCATCATCCAACCACCTCATGAGCAAACCTACCAGCCAACTGGATTATTCCAAATACGTTAGAAAATTTTCTTCTTCGTTAGAATGCGGCAATTCCTATTGCAAGGACTTAAATTACAGGTCAGTATTTAGCGAGGTATTTAGGTATCTATCGACATCTAAAATACATCCTTCCATTATTTAAGAACGTTTTGTTTAAGTTAATATCTCGAATTTTTGCGTTCCAGGGAGCATTTCCATTGTCTAGACTGCAATTCACGGGTATTTATCAAGAAAGAAGAGATGATTAGACATTTCAAATGGCACAAAAAACGAGATGAATCCCTACAACACGGTTTTATGAGATACAGCCCGTTAGACGATTGCGGGGACAAATTCGGAAATTGCACTCACAACAAGAAACAGACGCATTATCATTGCATTAAAGAAGGGTGTGATAAGGTAAAAAAACATTCTTATTGAATTTTCCAGTTTGTATCAAATTTTCCTGGGCTATAATTTTGAAATATACTTGTGTTTTAATTGTAATTATGTATTAATTACATGCTGTAAGAACAGAGAGGTTAGAAACATCCATGATTTCTTCAATTCATCTTACAAGCAACTAATTTTTGAAATGAAAAAATATATATATATATATAATCCGGGAAAATTAGACGTAAATTCGGAAAATAACAGAAAAGTAAACATTCGCGCTAAAAATACGCTTTTTTAATTTTAAATTGATTTTATACTAAATATTGCCCTTACAGGTTTATATATCGACATCTGACGTACAAATGCACGCCAATTATCACAGAAAAGATTCCGCCATAATTCAAGAAGGTTTCCAAAGATACAGGGCGACGGAAGAATGCGGAGCCAGCTACTGCGCCTTTTTCGGACAAAGAACGACACATTTTCATTGCAGAAGAAGCGGTTGCAGATTCACCTTTAAAAACAAAAGCGATATGGGTGAGTATAAAAAAATATACCAGACTTAAATCCGGTCACCGTGTTATCTTTTTATTTGAGTAAAATTTGTTTTTGTTTTTTAGAAAAACACAAATCGTACCATATAAAAGACGAGCAACTATCCAGAGATGGATTCAAAAAATTCATGAAGAACGAGATTTGTCCGTTCGACAATTGTCGCTTCTCGAAAGTATGCAACCACATACATTGCATTCGTCCTCAGTGCAGCTACGTCCTTCATTCCTCCGGTCAATTGTTTTCCCATAAACGTAAACACGAAAGAAAAGATTCCGAATTGGCGTACAGAAAATACAAACTGGCTCAAAGCATGCTGAAAACGCTGACCGATAGTCCGGCGCAGCATCCGATGGGTTTCTCCAGAGACTACGAAGCCCAAATTGACAGTTTAAATCTATCGATGTACAATCAGTCATCGGGCGCGATGTCCAACATGTCAAATCTATCGAACACCGAAAGTTTAAGTGAAAGAAACTCACCAGTCAGCTACGAGGAGTCTGAATCGGCTTCCGCTATAGATTTGAGCGCCAACGAATCTAACTTTGCTCACGAAGATAACATTTCGTATCACAGCGACGATTTCTGGAGGAAGTACTGTCAATTCGTACCGGAAAACCAGTGTCCCAATGACAAATGCGAGTTCACCTTCATCGATCACTTTCACTGCTTCGTGGATAACTGCGAAATGGCATTTAACTCTAAAGACTCTGCTCGCGAACACGCCAGAAATCACGAACAACAAGAAATGATTACAGAAAACTACTTTACCACTATTACAGTACAAAACGGCGGCTGTGAAGATTCTTGTATCTATCAAGACAAGGAGAAACACTATCACTGCAATTGGGACAATTGCAGAGAGGTAATTTTACCTGTGGATAAACCGTTTAGAAGGTTGGAGCATTACAAAATGCACGAATATTCAAAGAAATTGAGTTTAACTAAAGATCCCTTAACGATGACGCATTTATCAAGTTCTATCGATGGTATGTTCTGCAGAAAAAGGGGAAGACCGCCCAAGAATAGGGTCATCGAAGTTTGGAATGATTATGTAAGTATTTGACAAGTGACAGTAGCAGTTTGTTGCTAATAAGCGACTTTAACATTAATAGTAATCTAATTCTTATTATTTTCCAGAATTCTATGGGTTCTCAAAGTTTAATGGACAGTCCACAAGCCATTTTTACCAGCTTTAAGCTTCCAAAACCTTCAGCGACGCCATCTAGTAGCAAAGAAGTCGAACAACCGGATTCCAATGATGATAGATCCAGCACCCACAGTGTACCGGTAAGACAATACTCACATTATCAGGATTTTAATTTAAAAATAGCATAAATTCTCCAAGACACTCCTGTTAACTTCTAAATATTTTAGCCTCAAGACTACTCCCTGCAAGGCTTCGACCTTTTCAACGAAAACACAAAGTGCCCGGACAACCTTTGTCCATACTTAGGTTCTGCTCACTTCCACTGTGTTCAAAACCGATGCCTTTACGTTACCGATAAAGAAGACACTCTCGTAGTGCACGCTAAAGACTTCCACGACAACGTAGAAATCCTAGACGGCTTTGAATTCTACGATAGAAACATCGATTGTAGGCTGTTAGGCTGTCCAAGTAACAGGACGAATAGGCATTTTCATTGCACCAGACCCGGATGTAACTATTCGTTTGTTCAATATTCCACCATGGCGATTCATAAGCAGAAACACGAAGAGGAAGTTGGTATTGGGAGCCTGCCAAAGCCTGAGATTAGGGTTAAAAGCGAGGCTCAGCTGACCGAGAGAGCTGAAAGCAGCGATGGGCAGTTTAAGGCTATGAACTTGAGCCAAGCGGCTGATAACAAAGTTTCAGGTTGGTATCTTGTAAATATGATTCTTATATTTTGAGAGTAGTTTAAAGATATTTTGGTTTAGGGTATATTATAAAAAAAATCATTGTTTTTCATTTTATACTGATTAAATTAGAGAATATTTGTGATAGCAGTAGCGATAGTTGTAGATGATTTTCTTTTTGATTTAGTTTTGTTGTAAATATAGAATTTGTCTTTCTCTCTTCTAGTGGTGAAGGCATCCGGGACTTTCTATCCTTTATCTACGTTGCCAACAGAATTACAAAAATCACCAGATTATAAAACTATCGTCTCAGGTACGATATTTAACGTGTACTAACAAAGAATGGACAATGCTTAACTAACACATTATTTGTTGTATGTGTGTATTCCATATGAAAGTTTTTTGACAAGTGACAGCTAATACTGTCAAACATTTAGTCACTTTTTAATTTTTTAAGTTGGCAATATGGGAAAATTTCGTTATTGTATATATCGTGATTAAACGTTGAATTGATACATCTAAAGGCGGAATTCTTGTACTTATTATTGAAATGTTGATGTTGACATTTGGATTTGGAACAAATATTTATTCTTACTTTAATATGGAATTATCAAGGGTAATATACCAAGACCTTGATAATAGTCAGCTATTTTTGTTAAATCTAAATCTCGAGAATATTTTAATATCAATTTGAAGAGACATAATTTGTGGTATTAATAATCTGATTAGAACCCGAGAGCTTTAGCTCGAGGGCTTTAATCAATTGATTATTAATGCCAAAATTATGTAGAATCAAATTGTAAAATGTTCGAGAAATTTATCAATAACAAAAATAGCAGAATATTAATCAAGGTCGTGTTATATTTGGGACGACTATTTCACTAGACCAAATATCGACTATTTCTCTAGAAAAATAGTAGCTGATATTTGGTCTAGCGAGATAGTCTTTATTATTTTACGTTTCTAAATTTATAAACACCAGAGAATGTGATTATTATACTACACTATCTTTTGCATGTCTTTCTAAGCACTCTAAAACTAAAATATCTTGCATGTTTAGCAACAGTTAAATATATGTATGAGAGATGGTTATGACATTTGATTGCAACGTTGCCTTATCGCCTCTAGCGGATTTTTATAAAACTAAAATTTAGATGCTTGATTATTTTAACTGTTTAATTTGAATATTTCCATTTTCAGAACCCCCTCAACAACACGACCTTCTACCTCAAACCTCAGGCAGCAACACCCTCTACGGTCCAGAGCTATGTTGTTCACGACCGTTCTGCAAGCTGAAGAGGAAGTACCACTACCACTGTAACGCCTGCAACCAAGCTTTCAGCGAACTGGACCGTCTGATAACGCATGTCGCTAAACACAGCTCAGGCGCTCTAAGCAGCCAACATCAGGAAGAAACCTCACCTCAATCATTCAGCCCCCCGTCTCCTCAAACCCCAATATCGTCTAGTTCCACTATAAAACCGTCTGCGGAAAGCAAGATCAGCGTGGCACCTCTACAGTCGTTACAAAACCCAACGCCAAAGAAAGAACAACACGAACCATACTTAACACCGACGTTCGACGCTTACAACCACTTCAACAACTTCCCAGCCAACCTCCAGTTTGCTTTGATTTCGCAACAACAGCAAATGCAGAACCCCTTCCTGCCTCAAAGTCTGTATCAGAACCCACAGTTGATGTTCCAGCACGCCCAATTGATGCAGAGCCCTCTATTGGCACCCCAAAGTCCTTACCCTGGAGAAAATTTAACTAACCCTCTGGCGGCGATGGCCGCGAATTTAAACAAGAGAGCTATGGATCCGCAAGATACTCCCGAATCGAAGAAGGCTAGGATTCAAAATTCGATGAGGATTTTGAAGGATGAGCCCGTTCCCGAGGGATATCTGAGGTTTAGGTGAGTAAATTTCTATGTTTTAGTTACAAAATAATATATTAAAAAATCTGATGTGTCCAACACATGACTTTCCTATCTAGTTATTATAGGCATTTTCCGGTTATTTTGTACAACCTATTGCAGCATCTCTATAAATGTTTAGAGGATAAACTAAATATATACATTTTCCACATACATCTACCTCGAAACATTTTTCTATAGATATTCATTGAAAACGAAAATACAGAAAAATTTAAATTTAGCACTTTTTCATTACGGTCCATTTTAGAAAAATCATATATAAACAAAAATTATAGAAATCGATATCGCAAACAACTTTTAGTTCAACAATTTTCATAAAAATCAGAATTTTGCACATTTTGTCAAATTTCTCGAATACGGACCATTTCAGGAAATTTTGACATAAAACAAAAATTATAGATAATAATATTAGAAGTAACTTTTATTTGAACAATTTTCTTCTTCAAACATAAATAACAGATATATTCCATAAAATATAAAAACGGCCTCCCATAAAGTACCCCCCCAGATGTTCCGACTTTGTCCAAAATCTAATCATTACACGTCAGGCCGAAATAAACCTTAAGTTTAAAATTTAATGTTTTTTCCTTTATCCGTTTTTGAATTTTCTTCAAATTTCGAAATTTACACATTTTCTCAAATATCTCGAATACGGTCCATTTTAGAGAAATTATGTATAGGACAAAAATTATAGAAAATTATATTACAAACAACTTTTATTTGAACAATTTTTATAAAAAATTATTTTTTTTACATTTTGTCAAATTTCTCGAATACGGACCATTTTAGGAAAATTTTGCATAAAACAAAAATTATAGATAATTATATTAGAAGTAACTTTTATTTGAAGAATTTTCTTCTCCAGACGTAAATAACAGGTATATTCCATAAAACATAAAAATGACCACCTATAAAGTACCCCCCCAGATGTTCCGACTCTGCCCAAAATCTAATCAGCTCATTGGACGCTGAAACAAAGCTTAAGTTTAAAATTTGGTGTTTTTCTGTGTATCGGTTCATGAGTTATGCGTTATACAGACACACACACAGACACACACACACACACAGACACACACACACACACACAGACATCATCGCGAAAATAGTCAAAACGGATTCAGGGGACCTCAAAACGTAAAAATCCGTCGAAAACTCGAGGTCGAAAAAAATCATGATTCCTATACTTTCCTTATATCTGTATACAGATAGGAAAGTAAAAAGGTTTAATGAACATTTAGAATGGAATATATACGAGATTTTACTATTTTTTTGTTGTTTCAGATTTAATGAAGACTGCCAATATACGCATTGTGGATACAGGGAGCACCAAACTCATTTCCACTGCCAAAGACAAGACTGCGGTTATAGTTTTTGTGACAAGACGAGATTTGTCCAACATACTGCAAGACATGAAAGGCTTGATACCCTTATGGGAGGCGATTTCCAACAGTATAGAGCTAATGTGGCTTGCGGTAGACCAGATTGTGCTTATACGGCCAATTTAGGTAAGTTACTATCACTTCTTCATTATTCTTTATATTTATTTGGTCTCTAATTACTTAAGGTATTGATTGATATCAGTTTTGACAGAATCTTTTATTTTTCTTTCAGGATCGACCCAAAACAAAGCGTCCCATTTCCATTGTCTAAAATGCGACTTCGTGTGCACAGATACCAACAAGGTGGTCGCCCATAGACGTCAACACCAAAAGTTAGATTCGATACAAGCAGCGGGATTTGAAAAATTTACTCCAAGTCAAATTTGCCGAGTGCCGAACTGTCAACATAGCGGAAAACAGACTCATTACCATTGCCTGCAATGTCAATACGCTGTATTAGGCTTAGCACAGATGTCTGCGCACAAATACAGGCATATGGAATAGAAATGTATTACCAGTTGATAGTAGAAGATAAAATATGAGAAATTAGAAAAAGAGGTGCGTGTGTTTATTAAAAACGGAACCACCTTTAGATAGAAGTACAAAAAAGTAGTTATTCCGGCCCAAAAGGATCAGAGGCTAGAATAACAGTGGGGAAGTATTATGCTTTTGGCATAAACGTACGTACATACAATAAATAATATCTGCCCAATTGTAGAAGACTAAAAAACCAAATATGGAGGTGCAAACTGACATTTAGTTAAACAAAAATGTGTGAAAAAATACGCAGTATTTAAAGACGAAATGGAGAGTGTTTTATTTCTGATAAAAGCGCTGTTAAAATGAGTGACATCTGTCAAATGCTACCAACTTAGAAATAGATATGTTGGCAGCAGTGATTTAGGTAAACTGTCAAAGAAAGGCATATAGAGTTCGTCTTACGAACTAAAAATGATTGAAAATTGTTTTAGAAGTCACCATTTTAATGGAGCAAACAGATACAGAAATACGAGATGTAAATATTAATAACTATATTAGTTTTTATATGGGATAAGTTTGATTTTGGATATTCTAGTATTTGGGAGTTATTTTTTAACGAATTTGGGGTGTTTTTTTTTATTTAATGTTAAACATAATTTTTTTAATGAGGTCAAAAAAAGAGTATGCGTCGAAAAATACCCGAATTTTGACTAAAAATTTCATACCTATCATGAGTATTAATGTACCTATTATAAAATTATTATATAAATATTGTAAATAGTGTATGTACAAAAGAAAAACAAAAACCTTCGAATCTTGTAAAATACTTGTAAATACTTAAAAACAAAAGCAATAATTTAATAATCTCAGAAAAAATATTTATCGAGAAAAAAATTAAAAACAAAACAAAAATCTACTTTCGAGAAAGTGTCAACAACTGACTGATAAGATTAACTTAAAGTTATAAAAATAGAAGAGAAATGAAATACAAAATGATGTATTTGCTTACAAATCACGATTCTAGTTTCTAGAATTTTGTTAATTCATACTAAAACATTTTTTATTCCATTATTTACTTTTTTCTACAACTGTGAATAGATAAAAATGGCTGAGCGTTCCTGCTAATTAAAATGGCCTCTTATGCGCCAGTAGATTCGGCCAGTACAATAACCATCTAACAACTCTTCTTTCTTATTTTTTTATTTAACCAGCCGTTCCATATCATATAATTAGTGTTTATAAAAAACTTTATTAAGGATAACACTTTCATCATATTTAAGTTTGCACAAATTAACTCAGTTTAACAAAAATGAAGACAGAAACTTCAGCCATGACCCTCATCATTCACGGTCGTAGAAGAAGTTTGTGCATGCGTGCGTGGTCATACCTTTCAAAAGATTTTAACAATCAAAACGTTTTATAAAAGAACAAAAAAAAGATATAATATATTATTAGGTATTGATATATTTGAGAGGTATAACCAGTAGAACGAAACCAGTTAAATCTTCTAGAGAAAAAAATTCAAAAAATAGTTTTTTAATTTATCCTAGGGAACAAATTGTAAGGAAAAAAAGACATAGTTTTCTAGATTAGAAGAAATTAGCAATAGAGGCCTTTTCTGATAGTATAGTGCCTTAGAAAAGACATATAAATTTCGGTGCCTTTTTGGGTACTCTTTTGGTAGACATTTTTTAGATACTTTTGAAAGAAATACGTCATTCCATATACCAATTGTGCCATATTACAGTTATTTACAAATAAATACAGATTGTCCCAAAGTAATTTATACTCAACGATCTTGGTTGTAAGATGGCTTCGTGTAAAATATTTTGGGAATTATTTAGCAGTTTTTCAAATTTAGAGTAGATTTATTATAAAACGTGTCATATCTATTTTTCTTCGTTTTATTTATACTTATCATTTTTTTTCACCTATTATTTATTTTGCATCCTTTTTTTTTGTATATTTTCATTAGTGAATTTTTATGCCATATTTTGCAATAGTTTGTAGAACCTTACATTTTGTTTTTTGTTCGTTCTTGTTCATAGCTAGTCTATTTTTCTCTATCTTCGCTTTATTTTACTATTTTTATTATTATTTTTTTAAATATGTAATTCCCAATCATAAAAATGATTTTAAAAATGACTTCAAAGTCGATCTTTTTTTATTATTAAGTCTAATTTTATAGAATTGTATGTATGTTTATGATTATTTTATTTTACGAGTGTATTTTATGTTAAATCTCTGTGATTGTAAGATTTTAAAAAAATATCAGTATTTAAACCAACTCACTTATTTTTTATTCTTCCTAAACCACCTTTTTTTCCTTAATAACATACCTAAAACAAAGTAGCTACTCATATATCTACGAGGAACAGCAATGGAGGTACTATTAAACCTCACGCCACAGCACATCTCCATACAACCCAGCTAGCACATACGTTGCCAAGCCTTTCGGCGATGTTGGGAACGTAATAACATTACTATACAACGTAAATGCAACATTTATGAAAAGTTGTTGAGGGAAATCAAAACTTCTATTTGTTACTTATCTATTTAACCTACCTATTATGTTAACACAACGTAATCAAGTAATTTGCTTAAAAAAATATACACGAGAAGTATTGTGAACATCACAATCTGAATTCAGATCGTTTATGTTTTTGTCAATTGTCACTTTTTCTTGTCATTTGTTATGTCTTTGGTGGTTGTTTTTTTAACTTGGAGAATTTATTTTATAAATAAATATTATTTATACATATGAGTAGATTTGGTAAGGGTCCTCTATAAAATAGAAAACTATTTTAAAACCATTGTCTTTGTTCCAGATTACAATGCCTGGTGTAAATTTAATATTTTATTCATTAGGTACCCAATACAAAATAGTTTAATTACAATAAAAACAAAGAATGTCAGATAAATCGTTGTAAAGTTACATTTTACACCAAATACTTATAAAAGAGATATACAAAACTAACTGCTGGGTAATAATAAACCTACTTAATCCAACTAAAAATGCATTTTAAAAATATTATATTTTATGTTTCCTTTGTAGAATCTAGAAATTTTAGAAGCAAAAGTAAATACTACAGACTTGTCTAAAGAAGACTATTTAACAACTGAAACTTTATAAAAAATTAATCTACAGCCTGGTACGTCTATATGGACGAAAAACATCAAATTCAAGCAGTTCATTCTTCTCAACAGCCTTGAATGTATCTGGAAATCTAACCATCAGTTCAAGTATAAACCCAGAAGAAAAGTTGAGAGAAATCACAAATGATGCTATCGAGTATCTTGCTATAAAACATTAATTGTTTTTTATAAAATCTGTATACCTAACTTGGAAATCCATAGTCAAGCATAAAATTTATAAAATTCAAAGAAATTTCAATACAGACATTGGTTGTTTTACTTAAAACAACAAAGTAAGACAAACTTATCTAAAAATAAGTGCAATTTTTTAATTTTTATATCATTTCCTTTAATAATATTTAACAAGTAGGTGAATATCTTTCTTATTCAATATGTTGTAGAAAAGTAAAATTTTTTATATAAAAATATAATTTATCCTCTTCTTATAAATTGTCATATATTTATTTATGTTATATTACAGCATAAATAAAAATATTTCCAAGCCACATATGATTACAATAAAATAATATTTATCACCTTCGCATAAATCTACAGGTAAGAAATCAGTAATAATATGTACCTAGTCATTGTTGCAGTCGTCTATTATTATTCACCAATCTAGCTTTAGCATGGTACAATTGCCATTTTGGTAAAAAATATTGTGAACTTTTAAAAAATACCTTATTTAAATATACTTTTGTACAATCGTTCATCATTTAAGCTTTTGGTGAACCTTTGCAATATTGGTACCTTATTATACTATTTAGCTAATTTTGTCCAATCGTTTAGTGCTTTATTTCACAAACAACCACAACCATTTCACTTAGTTCACCTTACAATATAAACCATTCATGAACTCAAAATTTAAAATTAGATCAGGATTCTACATTCTACGATATACATTCAACTAATTGACATTTAATTTTACAAACTGTCTACTACTGCCACGTCTACTATCTATATACAAACGACTTGTACCTTTAACATCTGAAACTCATAAATATGAGGCCATTGTTTCCTATCTTTATGGCCCTGATTTGTGCATCTCCCATAATAAATTGACAACTACGTAAATAACATGGTGAATCATTGTAATTCGGTTTTATTTTTGTAAACAAAATTAGTCTAATAGTTGTTCGCGTTGTGTTGTTATATCACAAAGTATACATATAAGGAGTCCGAACGTAATGTTGAATGAATGGCATCAATTTGGGGGGACAGACTTTTTGCCGGTAGGGCACGCCACTTTTGAAGAAGTAATCGTTCAAATCCTTACGCGCTAAGTCTTGTTGCTATTGACTGCTGTGACTAAAAATATTCTGAAACGTAGAATTAAATGTAAAGCGGAGCTCCATTTACTGCGCATTTCAACATCCTTTAAAAAAAAAATAATTCTATTATTTCCAAGATAAACAAAAATATAATATTTCTCAATTACTACAACAAATTTTTAATATTATTTAGAGGTTACTCACTTTCGGTACTTTGAATAAAGCCACTTTTCCTAAATTCTCATTTGCCTTTCCGCCACTAAGGCAACCATGAATAGTACAACACCTTCCCATTTTTTATGAAAACGAATTATAAATAAATTAATTAATTTTTATATTTAATTTAATTAATTTTAAAATTCACGAGCCAGAGCGTTCCATATTTACGTGTAACAATAATAATAACATCACAGCATGTTGTTTTATTGTATATGCTGTGCCTACGTCCTGAATATTTGCGCAGCCAGTGGCATAAAAAAGAACTAAGATCTGGGTTTAATATTTGTGTACATGAATCCTAAAAAAAAGCCTATACCATTCGGACTCCTTGTATTTATACTTCGTGTGTTATATGCTCGCTAGTCAAAAAAAAATAATAACATCCGTCCTTAGTAACAGGTAACACCCAAATGAATGCAATGATCAACTTTCTCGATTTTACTTTACTCACTTCGATAAAACCATGTCTGTGACTGCTACATTTTCCTTAGCCAATCATAAACATGTACTCCTGATAGGATAGAAGACAGGCACATGTTCTGTGGACAGACAACGGCTACAGATATCGTTCTGTTTATTATGCCGCGTAAGCCAAGCCTCAACGATGGTTCTCGTTGACGATAAAAGCACAATCGATTTTTCTAGGTTGTTCCAGATAAATACAGGGTTTATCAAAAGTTTTTTATATTAAAACCAAAATTATATAAATACGCAAAACAGTAATACATTTTGTATGGCCTCTATTGAATGAAAAAAATGTGCATTTTTTAATAATGCAGTATGTATATCAAGGTAAATATCAAATATATGTAACAAAGTAAATTTTCCTGGAAGTTGAAGCATTATTTTTCAGTCAATGTCACAAGATAGCGTAAATGTTGTGGAAAATACTACAATACTCTTATTTCACGTGATCTGGTAAAACAAAGAAATTAAATTGAAATTACATGTTAAATGGTAATGTACATTAAATTTTACGCTGAAATCAAATGGTAAAAAAATATATAGGGTGAGTCATTTAAAAACATCGACATTAAGGCTCTCACGCTGTAACTGAATACCCTATATATTTCAAAATATTTTATAAATATACAATAAAAAAACTCTATAACTTGTATTTAAAATATTTTTTCATATTTTTTATGACAAGGAAGACATTGGACTTCCTTATACTAATGGTTATAAGAAATTTCGATCGAAATAAAAATGAATATACAAATCCAGAAAAAAATTAAGATATTTTGTAATAATTTGTTTACAAAAAGAGCACAAGACTCACCATTTGAGACCGCTCATTACTCCTTTGCTCTCCGTTTCATTAGCAGGTCTTTTATTTCCAGTAGATTTTCCGATAAAATCGCGTCCGGAAAAATCTTCTATTCCCGACGACATTAATGATCATCATATCATGTTCAGTTCTATATCATCCCTTTGATACGTTAGATTTTTCAAAATAGACGTATCTCAGGCAAGTATATCTGCAGCCTTGTCCATTTGACCCTAGAAGGTACATCCGAAGAAACTATAATGTAAATCAAAGATCTACATTGAACATCAAAGGACCATATACATTCTAAGACCAAACGGCTTTATTGTCAGAGGTAAAATGAACATGAACTCAAACCATTGATATCGTGTTACCGATTAACTCGTAATATTTGCGGCGATTTAAATTTTTGTACGGATATTCGCTGAAAAGAAAAAAAACATTATTAGGAAATTTGGAAAATTTCAAAAGCGAATAATTATTCTCTATTTAGGTAAGGATTTTAAAAAAATATTCTTATATTATAGTCTATTTTTTAAAATTTGTTTCTTTTTATATCAGCGTGTCAGCTTTGTTGACTGAATTAATTAATTCAAAATATTTAGGAGTTACTCTTTAAGAATATTCAAGGGTAATACCTACCAGTAGGAGTATTTTGTTATTTCTTTGGAAATTTACATAATTTCTAGAAATTTTTAGTTATGCTTATACACATATTT